GTTTTGTGTGTTGTGTGTTTGTGTGTGTGTGTGGGGGGGTGTGGGGGGGTGTTGTGTGTGTTGTGTGTGTGTGTTGTGTGTGTGTGTGTGTGTGGTGTGTTGTGCGTGCGTGTGTTGTGTGTGTGGTGGTGTGTGTGTGCGTGCGTGTGTTGTGTGTGTGGTGTGTGGTGTGTGTGTGTGTGTGTGTTGTGTGTGTGCGCGTGTGTGTTGTGTGTGTGCGCGTGTGTGTGTGTGTGTGTGCGCGCGCGTGCGTGTGTTGTGTGTGTGCGCGTGTTGTGTGTGTGTGCGCGTGTGTTGTGTGTGCGCGCGCGTGTGTTGTGCGTGTTGTGTGCGTGTGTTGTGTGCGTGTGTTGTGTGCGTGTGTTGTGTGCGTGTGTTGTGTGCGTGTGTTGTGTGCGTGTGTTGTGTGCGTGTGTTGTGTGCGTGTGTTGTGTGCGTGTGTGTGCGTGTGTTGTGTGCGTGTGTTGTGTTGTGTGCGTGTGTTGTGTGTGTGCGTATGTTGTGTGCGTGCGTATGTTGTGTGTGTGCGTGTGTTGTGTGTGTGCGTGTGTTGTGTGTGTGCGTGGTGTTGTGTGTGTGCGTGTGTTGTGTGTGCGCGTGTGTTGTGTGTGTGTGTGTTGTGTGTGCGTGTGTTGTGTGTGTGCGTGTGTTGTGTGTGCGTGTGTTGTGTGCGTGTGTTGTGTGCGCGCGTGTTGTGGTGTGTGTGCGTGTTGTGTGTGTGTGCGTGTGTTGTGCGTGTGCGTGTGCGTGTGTGTGTGTGTGTGTGTGTGTGTGTGTGTGTGTGTGTGTGTAGCTAGGCGTCCGCCTAGGATGTAGTCTCAGCCTAATACCACAACTTGCCGCCTCTATTACAGTATTACCTGGAGTTTACCTGGAGAGAGTTCCGGGGGTCAACGCCCCCGCGGCCCGGTCTGTGACCAGGCCTCCTGGTGGATCAGGGCCTGATCAACCAGGCTGTTGCTGCTGGCTGCACGCAAACCAACGTACGAGCCACAGCCCGGCTGATCCGGAACTGACTTTAGGTGCTTGTCCAGTGCCAGCTTGAAGACTGCCAGGGGTCTGTTGGTAATCCCCCTTATGTGTGCTGGGAGGCAGTTGAACAGTCTCGGGCCCCTGACACTTATTGTATTGTCTCTTAACGTGCTAGTGACACCCCTGCTTTTCATTGGGGGGATGGTGCATCGTCTGCCAAGTCTTTTGCTTTCGTAGTGAGTGATTTTCGTGTGCAAGTTCGGTACTAGCCCCTCTAGGATTTTCCAGGTGTATATAATCATGTATCTCTCCCTCCTGCGTTCCAGGGAATACAGGTTTAGGAACCTCAAGCGCTCCCAATAATTGAGGTGTTTTATCTCCGTTATGCGCGCCGTGAAAGTTCTCTGTACATTTTCTAGGTCGGCAATTTCACCTGCCTTGAAAGGTGCTGTTAGTGTGCAGCAATATTCCAGCCTAGATAGAACAAGTGACCTGAAGAGTGTCATCATGGGCTTGGCCTCCCTAGTTTTGAAGGTTCTCATTATCCATCCTGTCATTTTTCTAGCAGATGCGATTGATACAATGTTATGGTCCTTGAAGGTGAGATATATATCGAAATTTCAGAAATATATTGCAATCCTAGGACGCTATTGTTTGGTGATCCTCCTCCTCTTTTTTTTTTATGAAGAACAGGTGTTGAGCTTGGTTATCTGGAGTTTATCTGGAGAGAGTTCCGGGGGTCAACGCCCCCGCGGCCCGGTCTGTGACCAGGCCTCCTTAGGTCAGTGTCCCAGGATGCGACCCACACCAGTCGACTAACACCCAGGTACCCATTTTACTGATGGGGAACATAGACAACAGGTGGAAAGAAACACGTCCAATGTTTCTACTCTGGCTGGGAATCGAACCCAGGCCCTCACCGTGTGAAGCGAGAGCGTTAACCACCAGGTTTGTAGCAGAGATGTATCGGATGTGAAAATTTAGAAATCCGCGGATGTGGATGTACATGTATATGAGGATGTCTTACTTATTTTGCGGATGCATATAATGATATCTGTTTACAGTGAAATGCGGATGTAAGAAATTGTGTGGATGTTCCGGGGATGGGGATATCCGATACATCTCTAGTTTGCAGAGCTTAACTGGACAAACCACTTTGTGCTGCAGGAATGATTAGTCTGGTAGCTGACATGTTAGGTAGGTGAGAAGATACAGCACAGGAACAGCTGACTGGAAGCGGTTTATTGGCCATGGGGTTACATTAGGCGGAGAGTGTAGATACAGCCTGGGCCGGGTACCTAGGAGAGGTCAGCCAATGAATGAGAAAAACCAGGGGCAACACGGGGGTTCCAAAGCCAAAACCATTGAAGTTGTGCCTATGCGGGAAATGCAACAAGAGTTCGCTTACACCTCAAAAAGGATGGTACCTAACAAATTTAGATTTTGTAAATACAAATTTTCCAGTTTCCTAACAAACATTTTCCTAGATTCTAAGTAATAACTGGAGAATGTCTCTTCTGATCGGCTTCAAAGCCTTTAGGATTGCATATCTTGATTATGCACATTTATGGATTGATACTGAAGGTGTAGATGACAGTTTACCAATTTTATCCGAGATAAGAAATTTAGTTTGTTTTTCATGCAATGAACTTTTATGAGGTGTAATCCAATCAGCTTCCAACCTTAAGCGCTGAATTATCTTACACATTAACTTTATTTGTAGAATTAGAGAATTTGAAGCAGAACATAAATGAAGAAAAACTTATTTCAGAATGCTATTTTTATAGTGTTTTTAAGGTTCACGAGTTTAGCGAGCCCTTAAACCCCCTATTTTCAAAAGGTTTTATTCTAGAGCTGGCACATACACTCAGGTACGGTGTTTTTTTTTCTTCCTCTAAAGTTTTCGTTTATATCATTCAACTGGATTAACAATGTTGGTAAACTATAACCCGGGACAAGCTCATGGCACTACTGGCATGTGCAAGTGCCTTCTGGCCAATTTTATGTAGACAATTCCTGATATTTTCTGTGATAACTTTTACCTGCAGAGTACTTCCGGGGGTCAACACTCCCACAGCCCGGCATCAGACCGGGCGCCCTGGAGGATCAACGCCTGATTAACCAGGCTGTTAATGCTGGACGTACGCAATTCAACGTACGAACCACAGCTCGGTTGGTGAAGCATTGATGTGAAGACAGTCCGAGGTTCGTTGATAATTTCCCTTATGCACGGAGAAAGACAACAGAAGAGTGAGACCTTTGACACTCGTGGAACTGTGTGATAATTGCGCCCGTGCTCTTAACTTACTACTCAGTTTTAAACTTTGAACACTGGTGTATCCTACCTAGAAAGTTGGGATTGTTAATTAATATGTGGGTGTCAAGTGGCCAATTTTATTTTTAAAATACAAAGGCATTTTTCCCCTTTACAATAACAAAGCCTCTTTTGAACAGTTTCAATGATTAATAGCAACTGCAGCTTATGAAAAGGATACTTATTTTAGTCTGTGTTATGTGCAATTACTAATAACTGAAAAACTTCTAAATTTTGGGACTGTGATAACTTGGAAAGGCATCTTCTGGCCAGCTTCAAACTTATAGTAATGATATACTTGTCTAAAAGGAAGCTTCGTACTGACTTTGGATTGTGTTTATCCATTTACCAATTTTATTAGTTTCCGCGCAATAACTGAAGAAAGTCTCTTCTGATAGGCTTCAAACCTTAAACGATGGTGTATCATAGTTAGGTATAAATGCATTAGAAAGTTATGCTGCACTCACTGTTTACTTTGCATGTATCAAGATAAACAGGGTTGAGCTTAGGGGATACTTTCCTCGGACTGCACAAGGACCGAAATACTTTATTATTATTATTATTATTATTATTATTATTATTATTATTATTATTATTCGGAGTTAACCATTAATAAGCTTCCTGAATGTCTATCAAAACGACCTAGTTCCACGGAGAAGGTCCTAACACCAGGACCCTCATTAACAGAAATTTTCTCATGTCCCCCAGACAATCAAAATACCCCCATCACAAACTGTGCATACGTATACTTATGGGGTGTACTGTAATAAATGTAAGTATTGGCTGTAAGCCTACATGTCTAATTTCCTAAGTTAGCGCTAGGGGGCCGGCCTCTAGGTAGGCATACTCAGACCTGCCTCTCCGCTGCTGGGTCAAGCCCTGGCTCTTTTTCTAAGACTAAGGACACTCCTCTCAAGAACTAGTCTTCGCCTGTCCAGTCTTCTCCGCTCACCCCTTGGGGGCCTTACCTCTATTTCGCTGGCTCGAGACCTGCCTCGCTCTCAGTTGGCGCCCACTCAAACGTAGTCAACAACCCTACTCATTCTCTAGCAGTTGGGGGCTTGGCCCCAGGGGGCACTAAACACACTGCCTGTGTACAAGATCTCAAATAAAGTAAGAAGCTTCCGAAGCCTTATCATTGATCCCCGCTTCAATAAAGATCAAATAGCTGCGGGGAGGGATTGCTAGGGTTAGGAACGAGAGGTAAGTGTGCAAAGGTAGAAACTAGTGAAGGTAGGGGTTCGTGTAAGAGTAAAACTGAAATCCAGTAGGTACATCTGTTCATGGTTCTGGGTATTATCGCTCCATCGCCCAGATCTCAGACCAGGCCTAATAAATGATCAAGAAAAATCGTACAAGAACCATGACTCGCGAAATCGTAATGACATGATTGTAAACAAACCACGGTACGGAGAAATTGAACTCGCGGTGAGCCGTAAAACTCCAGACCGACGCGTTAGCCAGTGGTGCCAGCTGGCTACAATAAGATTTATGTAACTAGGTATAGTTATACACCATAGGACGGTTAGCATACATGAGATAAAGGTCATCAGTCTTAAATGTGCAAATGATTAACACTAGTAACAATGTGTTAGGTATAAACCTTCAGCTGACCACAATACTTAACTTACCTTAAGTTTAACAACAGTTAATCGGTTAATTTTAAAAATGGCATTAGATAAAAAAATGAGGCAGGTGAACTTAGAATACTTACTCTACATCCTTGAGAAGTGATGAAGCTCTCTTCTTGCGGGCGGCCATCTTAAAGACATGCTACACTTGTGCACCACTTAACACTTCTCTACTCACTTTTAAAATTTATAAACACTTGTTCAACACGAAATATGCTTCTCTGGCACTATCTTTAGTTTGATCTATGTTTACTCGTCTTTTCTACGTGAACTATGTTCTTGTATGCGCACTGTTTCTCTGCATTCCCTTAAGTCTGTTCTTCACCGTCTATATTTACATCAAATGTCTACACTTTATTGCAAGGGTACTTTTAATATCGACAAAACATAAGCTTATAGATTTCCAGCTCGCGGTCAGCTTCAAATCTTTTGAAGACTTCAAATAAAGTCTCCAAAACACAGTTTCACAGGTATAACAAAATAACCTTGCTTACGAACACTGTCTTCGACTTCCCAAAATTATTTTATCCATTTATATTTATAAATATAAAAGGCTTCTGGAAAATTTATACGCTACTACTAAAATTTTAGTATGAACATATTCGAACTTAACAACGTCAAAATATTTTCCAACGTCGGAAAAAATGTTCCTAGAAATATTCAAACTTTAATATACTCGTACTTACTGTAACGAGTGTTACGTAGTGAAATGCAGAAAAAATATTTTATAAAATAATGTTCCATAGTAAAGGGATTGAACTGAAAACCGACGCGTTTTGCTCCTGTCACAGGCAGAGTGGCCAGGACAGGAGCAGATAAGGTGTGTTTAGGCTGTAGGCACAGCAGAGGAAGCAAGATGCAGCGGTATATGTGGTGTTGGGGAGTTTTTTTTCTTTTTTTTTTTTTAGTGTATACGACTTAGTTTTGATGCTCTCATTTATTTGTAAAGTCCTAGTGAGTGCGAGAGCCTGTGTTCTGGAGAGTATTTAATATTTTAACTGTAGGCTAAGTAGCCGGCAGGAAGTGGGGGGGAGGGGTGTCACAAAGCCTCCCAGTTTATATATTTTAACTCACAGTAGCAGTGAGTTAATGTGAACTGGGGTGTGGTGGTTTTTTGGAGTAGATTGCAAGTTATAAGTTACTATTACATATATTATATATATTTTTATATAGATGAGTTTTTGTCCTTCCTTCCTAATAATAATTAATATTGTTTAATATACGAGTACATGCTGGCCCAAGAGTTAGTGTGTTTCTCAGTGTAATTTTATAACCCCTAGACAGCAGTGTGAGCAGCATTTAGGAGCCAGGAACATTTTACTCGATTTGACCGGATTATATTATAAATTGTGCTATAAATTTGTACAACTATAAAGCTTCTTATTTGAAATTCTCATTTGTACTTCATGTTGTAATGTGTTTACTGTGATTTTTACCACTGAATATATCATTGCTTAGTTAATCTTAAGTTAATTTTAAGCCTGTCCATAATGCTCTGCATTGTGGGCAGGCTTGTACACTCAACCACTGTATATCTTTTGTACAACTATGTATCATGTCCAAATAATAATAAATAAAAATAAATTACGACATCAAAGTCGTAACACGAGCACGAAATATGAATATGTAAAATATGTATTAATAGTCAATATATAAACAAGGATTTCATATACGAATGAATGAACTAGTGCAGTAGACACTAGACAACACCTGTCATATGAACACCAGCTACGAACCAAGCTGGTTCCTTGGGTAAAGTGTGCAGTCTTTATCCTGGGTAAAGTGTGCTGTCTTTATCCTGGGTAAAGTGTGCTGTCTTTATCCTGGGTAAAGTGTGCTAGTCTTTATCCTGGTAAAGTGTGCAGTCTTTATCCTGGGTAAAGTGTGCAGTCTTTATCCTGGGTAAAGTGTGCTGTCTTTATCCTGGGTAAAGTGTGCTGTCTTCATCCTGGGTAAAGTGTGCTGTCTTTATCCTGGGTAAAGTGTGCTGTCTTTATCCTGGGTAAAGTGTGCTGTCTTTATCCTGGGTAAAGTGTGCAGTCTTTATCCTGGGTAAAGTGTGCAGTCTTTATCCTGGGTAAAGTGTGCTGTCTTTATCCTGGGTAAAGTGTGCTGTCTTTATCCTGGGTAAAGTGTGCAGTCTTTATCCTGGGTAAAGTGTGCAGTCTTTATCCTGGGTTAAAGTGTGCAGTCTTTATCCTGGGTAAAGTTGTGCTGTCTTTATCCTGGGTAAAGTGTGCTGTCTTTATCCTGGGTAAAGTGTGCTGTCTTTATCCTGGGTAAAGTGTGCTGTCTTTATCCTGGGTAAAGTGTGCTGTCTTTATCCTGGGTAAAGTGTGCTGTCTTTCTCGGTAAAGTGTGCTGTCTTTATCCTGGGTAAAGTGTGCTGTCTTTATCCTGGTAAAGTGTGCTGTCTTCATCCTGGGTAAAGTGTGCTGTCTTCATCCTGGTAAAGTGTGCTGTCTTTATCCTGGGTGAAGTGTGCTGTCTTTATCCTGGTAAAGTGTGCTGTCTTTATCCTGGGTAAAGTGTGCTGTCTTTATCCTGGTAAAGTGTGCTGTCTTTATCCTGGGTAAAGTGTGCTGTCTTTATCCTGGTAAAGTGTGCTGTCTTTATCCTGGTAAAGTGTGCTGTCTTTATCCTGGTAAAGTGTGCTGTCTTTATCCTGGGTAAAGTGTGCTGTCTTTATCCTGGGTAAAGTGTGCTGTCTTTATCCTGGTAAAGTGTGCTGTCTTTATCCTGGTAAAGTGTGCTGTCTTTATCCTGGGTAAGTGTGCTGTCTTTATCCTGGGTAAGTGTGCTGTCTTTATCCTGGTAAAGTGTGCTGTCTTTATCCTGGTCAAGTGTGCTGTCTTTATCCTGGTCAAGTGTGCTGTCTTTATCCTGGGTAAAGTGTGCTGTCTTTATCCTGGGTCAAGTGTGCTGTCTTCATCCAGGGTCAAGTGTGCTGTCTTTATCCAGGGTCAAGTGTGCTGTCTTCATCCAGGGTCAAGTGTGCTGTCTTTATCCAGGGTCAAGTGTGCTGTCTTCATCCTCGGTCAAGTGTGCTGTCTTCATCCTCGGTCAAGTGTGCTGTCTTCATCCTGGGTAAAGTGTGCTGTCTTCATCCAGGGTAAAGTGTGCTGTCTTCATCCAGGGTAAAGTGTGCTGTCTTCATCTGGTAAAGTGTGCTGTCTTCATCCTGGGTAAAGTGTGGCTGTCTTCATCCTGGGTAAAGTGTGCTGTCTTCATCCAGGGTAAAGTGTGCTGTCTTCATCCTGGTAAAGTGTGCTGTCTTCATCCAGGTGAAAGTGTGCTGTCTTCATCCTGGGTAAAGTGTGCTGTCTTCATCCAGGGTAAAGTGTGCTGTCTTCATCCAGGGTAAAGTGTGCTGTCTTCATCCTGGGTAAAGTGTGCTGTCTTCATCCTGGGTAAAGTGTGCTGTCTTCATCCTGGGTAAAGTGTGCTGTCTTCATCCAGGGTAAAGTGTGCTGTCTTCATCCTGGGTAAAGTGTGCTGTCTTCATCCAGGGTAAAGTGTGCTGTCTCATCCAGGTAAAGTGTGCTGTCTTCATCCAGGTAAAGTGTGCTGTCTTCATCCAGGTAAAGTGTGCTGTCTTCATCCTGGTAAAGTGTGCTGTCTTCATCCAGGTAAAGTGTGCTGTCTTCATTCAGGGTAAAGTGTGCTGTCTTCATCCTGGGTAAAGTGTGCTGTCTTCATCCTGGGTAAAGTGTGCTGTCTTCATCCTGGGTAAAGTGTGCTGTCTTCATCCTGGGTAAAGTGTGCTGTCTTCATCCTGGGTAAAGTGTGCTGTCTTCATCCAGGGTAAAGTGTGCTGTCTTCATCCAGGGTAAAGTGTGCTGTCTTCATCCAGGGTAAAGTGTGCTGTCTTCATCCAGGGTAAAGTGTGCTGTCTTCATCCAGGGTAAAGTGTGCTGTCTTCATCCTGGGTAAAGTGTGCTGTCTTCATCCAGGGTAAAGTGTGCTGTCTTCATTCAGGGTAAAGTGTGCTGTCTTCATCCTGGGTAAAGTGTGCTGTCTTTATCCTGGGTAAAGTGTGCTGTCTTTATCCTGGGTAAAGTGTGCAGTCTTTATCCTGGGTAAAGTGGCTGTCTTTATCCTGGTAAAGTGTGCTGTCTTCATCCTGGGTAAAGTGTGCTGTCTTCATCCTGGGTAAAGTGTGCTGTCTTCATCCTGGGTAAAGTGTGCTGTCTTCATCCTGGTAAAGTGTGCTGTCTTCATCCTGGTAAGTGTGCTGTCTTATCCTGGGTAAAGTGTGCAGTCTTTATCCTGGGTAAAGTGTGCTGTCTTTATCCTGGGTAAAGTGTTGCTGTCTTTATCCTGGTAAAGTGTGCTGTCTTTATCCTGGGTAAAGTGTGCTGTCTTTATCCTGGGTAAAGTGTGCTGTCTTCATCCTGGGTAAAGTGTCGTTCTTCATCCTGGTTAAAGTGTGCTGTCTTCATCCTGGGTAAAGTGTGCTGTCTTTATCCTGGTAAAGTGTGCTGTCTTTATCCTGGTAAAGTGTGCTGTCTTATCCTGGGTAAAGTGTGCAGTCTTTATCCTGGTAAAGTGTGCAGTCTTTATCCTGGGTAAAGTGTGCTGTCTTTATCCTGGTAAAGTGTGCTGTCTTTATCCTGGGTAAAGTGTGCTGTCTTTATCCTGGGTAAAGTGTGCTGTCTTTATCCTGGGTAAAGTGTGCTGTCTTTATCCTGGGTAAAGTGTGCGTCTTTATCCTGGGTAAAGTGTGCTGTCTTTATCTGGGTAAAGTGTGCTGTCTTTATCCTGGGTAAAGTGTGCTGTCTTTATCCTGGGTAAAGTGTGCTGTCTTTATCCTGGGTAAAGTGTGCTGTCTTTATCCTGGGTAAAGTGTGCTGTCTTTATCCTGGGTCAAGTGTGCTGTCTTCATCCAGGGTCAAGTGTGCTGTCTTTATCCAGGGTCAAGTGTGCTGTCTTCATCCTCGGTCAAGTGTGCTGTCTTCATCCTCGGTCAAGTGTGCTGTCTTCATCCTCGGTCAAGTGTGCTGTCTTCATCCTGGGTAAAGTGTGCTGTCTTCATTCAGGGTAAAGTGTGCTGTCTTCATCCAGGGTAAAGTGTGCTGTCTTCATCCTGGGTAAAGTGTGCTGTCTTCATCCTGGGTAAAGTGTGCTGTCTTCATCCTGGGTAAAGTGTGCTGTCTTCATCAGGGTAAAGTGTGCTGTCTTCATCCAGGGTCAAGTGTGCTGTCTTCATCCAGGGTCAAGTGTGCTGTCTTCATCCTCGGTCAAGTGTGCTGTCTTCATCCTCGGTCAAGTGTGCTGTCTTCATCCTGGGTAAAGTGTGCTGTCTTCATTCAGGGTAAAGTGTGCTGTCTTCATTCAGGGTAAAGTGTGCTGTCTTCATCCAGGTAAAGTGTGCTGTCTTCATCCTGGTAAGTGTGCTGTCTTCATCCTGGTAAAGTGTGCTGTCTTCATCCAGTGTAAAGTGTGCTGTCTTCATCCAGGGTAAAGTGTGCTGTCTTCATCCTGGGTAAAGTGTGCTGTCTTCATCCAGGGGAAAGTGTGCTGTCTTCATCCAGGGTAAAGTGTGCTGTCTTCATCCAGGGTAAAGTGTGCTGTCTTCA